GCCTTGCAGTCCTCGCACAAGCTCGCCCACGGAAAATGGTGTGCCTAAATGTGCGCTCGGCACAACGAGATTCTGATCAGAGAGGCCGAGCGCAGAAGGCGGCGAAGGAGAGCGACGTGTGCTTGCACGTGTGCTGGTGGGCGTAGTAACGGCACATTTTCTTATTTTATTTGTTGTGTTTTTCTTTTGTTTAGGTGATTTTGGGAACTGTTTGGGTGTTTGGGGTGTTCAGGGGGTGTTGTTGGAGGTTGGTATGGGTGGTGGGTGGTGGTGGGCTGAGCTGAGTTGGTGTTGATGCTGAGTCCAGCTGGGTCAACTTGAGTTGAGATGGTGTTGGTTGGCTTCTTAAAGGGGTTTGGATGATGGGTTTGGCGATGTTATTGTATTCACGATGTAGTGATCTTACTGCCAGGGAGGTGGAAAGAGATAAATGCGTGGGTGATGAACAAAACTATGTTGTTCCAAGAGGAATCTAACAAGAAATACCCAAGGAGCAGGCAGCAGTCTGTTGTTGGCTTGGATCAAGAGAACCCTCGGTCAACTGGCCACTTGAATGATATCTCAACCCCGTGCTGACTTGAGGCTCACGGGCGAGGCTGACTCTTATACCACGGGGCAGGCGATTACTCACAAATCGCAAAGATAGAAAACGAAGTGATCATATCTGCAAACGTAAAATGGTTGCAGCTGAAGTTGAACGACAACAAGTCTCGCCTTACCTGTGCAGTGCAGATCCGCATTCCAGCTGCGAGTCGGTTGCGTATAAATCTGACATGCCCGGCATTTACTCTCATTTACTCTACAGCTCAGCTCAGCTCTCGACCGCGTTGCGATACGATACAGCAGAACCCGTGCAGCCTCACACCACCACACCCCATCTCAGGCGACACGCGGGCCCCGCGGGCCGAGTCAACTTTGCGGGTGACCAATCTCCGTGACACCGAGTGCAAGAGCACAGGTGAGCCCGGCTGCTTGGTGATGCTATTTATGACAGCGCGGGCACGCTACTGGTAACCTACCACAATCGGACAGTGGGAGTCGGAGGTAAAATACGACCATCATATTGCGCCCGGTGTGCCCCGACTCGCGAGATGTACGATTTCGCTAAACCAAGCGGCGAGATGTACGATTTCGCTAAACCAAGCGGCTCAACCCACGCGATGTGCCTCAGAGGTGCGTGCTGCCAGTCAACCACTTTTCTCAACTTCGCTCGTCGCTGGTCAAGTTCCGAGACAGGAATACGACTCAAAGAGAGCAAGAGCTGGGTTGTGAGTTGTGCAACCAGCCCAATCATCCAGCGCCTGCATGGACCCCAACGCGCAAGAGATGGACATGCGCCAAGAACCGGCTCCCAGGATACCGAAACAGCGCGCTGCTCTTATAGGGCTGCAGGGTGAGAGCAGATGACGCCGTGTAACGGCCACGGTGATCATCCTTGTGATCGGGCCGCGTGGACTCGACTGTCGACGACCGGGTCAGTTGTTAGCTGTCGACCATTTTTTTGAGGACTTGAATCGCAGAGTCGTGAGAGATACGGTCGTGGGCCGTGTTGAACTTGTGGGCTTTCGGTAACCAAGGTACCCCCGTATTTCGTTATTACACTCGCTAGCCCGCCCGGGTTGAGGCTGTCGAGGCTGCTGGGGCTGTCGAGCGGCTGATGAGGCAAACGGATATCGGTCCCCTTTTCAGACGAACCGGGGCGATCGGATTGGGGGACTTTTGTCGGTGCCGGTGGCAACTTGCAAGCTTCAGGGGACCTCGGACTCGGCTCACCGCCAGTTCATTTCTGTTTGTTTCGAGAGCACGGAAACGGCAGGCCGCGCGGGGCTGTCATGGGCGAGCGGCCACCATCCGGGCTGTTGTGTAAAATTCGACACGCTGCGAGGTCTGTTGTGGGAGGGTGGCCGCATGTTAAAGACCAGGCGCGATGCGTCGCCCCGGTCATGGTGGGATGGTGGGATGGTGGGATGGTTGGGTGGTTGATGCTGGGCACCAATTGGGGGTCGTTTGGGTCGTTTGGGCCATTTGCGCAAGAAATGCGATGGCTGGGAAACTGGCTGACTGGAAACAGAAACACAATCCATGGTCCGTGGCCGGGGTTCTTTTTTATGAGCGCTGGACAAGGTTCAAATCGGGCAGGGAGGCAGGGTTCCAGGTTCAGGCGATCCGGCAGCAACTTCCAGGGCAGGTTCGTCGCGCTGGGATGAACCTGAAGTGCCAAAGTGCTTTTGCGCTCGTGTACCCGACCCTTAGTTATTCCAACAAGTTCTTTAACTAGTTAGTTAGTTATTCTTATCTAGACTTAGGTAAATATCGCATCTCCATCTGAAGCTGCTCTTTGCCGATTTGAATGCTTTGCCTTGACCTCAGTACCGACACACCCCGGGCCCTCATCGAGGGGACCGCCTTGGGATTTGGCCAGCAGCTTCCTTCCATTCCCTGAATTCGGATTCTCTCTTCAACAGCCACTTTCACTTTCGCCCGTCTCTCAACTCCGGACAAAACCGGCGCGTGCCGACACACGTGCGGGTCCCCGGATTCACTAACGCCATGCATCGCGCCTGATGCGTCTCGCGCGTCTCGATTGTTCGTCCTGGCCAGGCTGCCCTGTTTGAGCCCTGTTCGGGCCCTGCTCCGTTGCAACTTCAATCGCCGGTGCTGTCCCCGCCCGAATGGAGCCGTGGGGCTTTGCGGCTTTGCATCCCCAGTCTCTTGCGGCAGCCCACTCGGCCCAGTGATTGAAGGTGGTGGTGGACAACTCACCTTGCAGCGCGCCATCTGCAAGTCCTCCAACGGCTTCCCTTCGTTTTCCAATCCAGACTCGCCAGACCCAGGTGGATAACCGGGACCCCCCGTCATCACTCTCTTTGTCTATCCTATGGCATTGTCGCTCCTTTTCCGATCCAGTCATCCAGCGTGCCATACTCGAATCAGGTCGTCGACGGCGAGCTGCACTTCTATGCTTGCCTTGCCTTGCATTGTGCGTCTGCGTCATCCGATGCACTAGGCTGGCCGCCGAGTCGGGTCGTTGTTGATTTGTTCCAGCATCGTCAAAGCCTTTCTCAGGCCGAATCCAGGCCAGCGGATCCACTCGTTAGGAGGTGCCTTTGCTCGTTCATGCATGAGACCTTCGCTGTGCCTTGCTTCTGCTCCTTTCGCTGTTTCTGCTGCTTCTACTTTTTGTTTCTGTTTCTGCCACTACTGCTGTCTCTGCTGCAGCTACCCTCGCACGTCCCTTAAGACATCCTCAGACCCCAAAACCCAGCCCGACTTCTTAACCTTGTTTACTTTCCCTGGTCCCCTTAACCACCCCGGCACCACGGCATCAAGGGCACCCTACCATCGAGATCTCGCTCCGAACCCGGCTCCGGGCACAACCCGCACCGCCAATTCCGCCAATTGACCCACTCGTGGCCTCGAATCGGCTTCAGGCCTGCGGTCAGACGCCTGTCGCAGCTCCCGAACTCCCGTGCTCCACCGCCGCGCACATCTCCCAGCCCCCAGGGCTGCATAGCTTGGCCTCACCGATTCCACTGCGACAGATCCGAATCTGCTGTGTTTCCCCTAAAAAACAAGTGCAGGACCCCCGGTCGAGCATTGTCCAAGTGTCCAGGTTGGTCCCGACCGACCACGCGCGTTGCCGGCGGTTTTCCAGAAGGTCTCGTGTTCTGTGCTGCAGAAACCCGGGGGGAAGAGGGTGCTCGTTTCATCTCATCCGAGCAGAGTCAACACCAACCACCCTCACCCTCACTCTCACCCGCTCACTCCAGTCGCTCGTTCGCTCGCTCGCCCACCCGCCGGCTCGCACCACGAGGTCGCCGCCATGCCCTGCGTCACCATCCGCGCGCCCACCTCAAACTCCGAGCCTCAACTCTCCTTCGGGTCCTCATTTTATTGACTAGTTCACCCGTGTCCTCCGCGGCTGCTGATTCGCCATCGGCTCGTCCTCTGCCTTGTACAAATTGCCGCTTTCAACCTTACTTGCTTCGCTGTATCATATTGGTCAGTACTCCTCCAATGGCTCCGGTCGTCGGCCATGTCCAATATTCTGATGCCTCGATTGCAGTCTTGTGTAATCAAAACGGCACAAAACCACTCCGTCGAGAAGCCCGAGCCGGGGAGCGTTGGAGCCCAAGACACCGACAGGCCTCATTTTTAGGCCGCCGTGTCTCCCGCTCATTTGGCGACGCCGATGTAGCAAGGCGAGGATACCGACCGACATTCATTCGTTCAAGTTGCGTTTGCGCGGGGTGGAAATTAATTAGTAGCTTGATTGCGCACGGTGAAGTTGGTCGATTCGCGGCATCCCTGGTCGTCCCCATCCCCATCCTTCTGCCGTCCCCAGCTTCATCCGGCAACACCACGCGACACTCCGGACCGCCCTCCGGCGTGGTGTCTTCATGGCTTCCTCGGAGATCGACCAGAAGTTCCTTGGGAAGCTCGCCAAGGCAGTTGAACCAGACAACCCTTTATTGGCGTCCGTCTTGTTCAGGATACTGGGCCTCTCCATCAACCTCTCGGCCCAGCTGATCAAGGCACGGAAACAGCGGCGACAAGATGCCGCCCAAGCAGCATCCAGTTTGGACCTGACCTACCATATCGTATGGCTTTCGCGCGAAGGACTGGTCTTGCTCCAACAATACGTTTTGCCCATGGTCGGGAATTATGTCGAACTCAAAGTACTGGCGTACAAGCTGCGTGCTTCGTTTTACCACATTTTTGTCCTCTTCCACAACTCACCACCCGTCCCCGCCATGGGCCCCAACACCCCGGAAACCTCGTCAACCACCGCACCGGGCTCATCAGCACGCGTCGACAAGGGAAAAGGGATCGCGAGGGACGAGGACGGGAGCACGTCCAAGGGCGGGCCGGTCGGCCCTCCACCGGGCTTCGGACCCACACCACCAACAGCCTTCCTCATGAGGCCCGGCGACTATCTCCCAGAAGCGCATCAATACTTCCGAGAGGCCGTCCAGCTCGCCGACGAATTATTATGGGGGTCGCATTCGCTCCGGCTGTCCGTCAAGACCGAGTACGCGGCCTTCCTGTACGAGTGCGTCCACGACGTCGAGAGCAGCCGGCAGATCGCGAAGGAGACCATCGCGGAGGTCTACGAGGCCACCGAGGGCATCGACAACGACATGTTCAACGACGCGTGCGAGCTGGTGACGGTGTTGGGGAAGATGATGAAGCGCGGGCTGGGGTCCAACACAACCCTGCGGAGCAAGGCGCACGGGTCGAGCATAGGGACACAGGGGACGCAGGGGACACAGGGGACGCAGGGGACACAGGGGACGCAGGGGACACAGGGGACGCCGCAGACGGAGCAGACCGAGGCGAGCGCGCCACCAGGCATGATATAGCACCGACCGGCCATCGGTCCACCAACAACCACCCGGCTCAATCAACGCCTGGGCTACTAATAGCTCTTCTCGAACCGACCATACATACATGGCCAACGCCCCTAATCATCTCTTCCGCACCCGCCCACACCACATTCACTAGGCATTGATTGAGCCGCCCCCTCCCTCCTCCCAACACCTGCACCAACACCGTTTATACTTTCACAGCCACACCGCCCAGCTACTCCGTATCGTTCTACCTACGAGCCCCCTTAGATCCCAGGAACACTCACACTCCAGTCCCCGGGCACTGTATATACCCACCATCACCGCCCCATTACCAATACCACCACCACCACCACCACTCTACACGGCCCAACCCACTGTGCCGTGTCACCGCCTTGTCATTTAATGTTTTGCATATCCCCTCCGTTTCTAGGAGCTCCTCTCTGAGGACCAGGACCATTTCTTCGTTTCTCTTTCTTCAATGATACCCGGAACGTCAATAGCAAGGCGACGGTGTCTTTTCTGCCTGGCTTGGCTTGTCTGTATGTATTTGTGGTTATTTAAACGAGCTCTAGGCGAGCGGGGCTTTTTACCGGACGCTTTGGAGGGTTTGGGGGCCTGAGTGTGTAAGCGGGGATATTATAGTCTTGGATTTTTCTTTTTTTTTTTTCTTTTCAATCTGCGGGCCTTCCGCCTCGGGACAGGTGCTATTGTGGAAGGCTGGGGCTGCCGCCTTTGATATACACGACCAAACCCTACCTTACTTTGACACTCCTAAAGTGAACCGTCCTCATTTTTATCGTGGCTGTGATGTTGCCGTTGTTATGCCTCCCGGGTTAATCTTCCTAGCAATCGTTGCACCTGCTTCACTGTTATAATGGTTGTCGCAAACAGTTTATCATTCCCCGCATCTAATCACGCTGAAACCGAGACCACTGGGAACTGGCGGCTCTGCCGAAGCGGCTTTGTCACACGCCCTCTCAGCGGGTGAAGAAGATACAACAGCATCATATGTGGGGTCAAGGTGCTAACATTGAGCGGCACTCCGTATCTAGAGTCACTGATATAAAAGCGATATATACAAAATAGGTGACCTTGGAGTGTAACCGACCATCATTGGGATTTCCTAACCCAGACCTCAACCGTCGAACGGGGACCCAACCTGAGGCCTTCCCCTCTGGGTCGGCATTGTCCATGCTGATATGTCGAAGCGAGCATCGCCTCCGTCACATCCTCGAGCGACTCGTTTGTCTCCAGGTGATCGCGGCCGTGGCGTAGGTGGGCTGGGTAGTGACTATATCGGCGGAGTCGAGTTCTTGTGTTTTCGGAAAAGGTTTTGGGAATCCATCGATCCTGCTGTTCCTCTTCTACGCCGCGCCATTCGTGTATTGATGAGGACCCAACCCGATGCCCTCCTCTCCATGTCGACATTATTGGCTTTGAGGCTGTGACGCCTGTCATTACGTCCATCACCTCCTCGACCGAGTCGTCTGTCGCTCTCGGTGGCGTCCGTCTGAGGGTACAGCGCCGTGATGCTGTCGATGCCAACAGTGAGGATAGTAAGCCGGGGACGACTAACACAATGCCACTAGCGACCCAAACGGAACACCGCAGTGACATTGACTGGGACCTAGAGAAGACCACCGTTATCTTGAATCCCCGGCCCACCACCGCCTTTGGGGTCCCCTTTTCGAGATTCGGCAATCACCACGGCCCTCTCATGCGCGCCGGTAATCTTTTTAATGGCGACTTGCTTTTCAACTCATCCATCTCCCAGATTGCACACGCTGATTCCCCGACATGGAATAGAATCCCCACCATCACGCCAACCCAAGTATAACAAATAAAATGCCACCGGTAATCAATGGCTTCGCTGGTAAACATCATCGTGCTGACACCGGCCGAGGAGTCGCGGGGTGATATCGGCAAGGTGCGCCCGAGGATCCAAACGAGACAACAAATGAACGAGGCTCATCACATCTGTTTGTGGAGGTAGATTACCGACCCAGATGGCATGGCCTTGAGGTAAAACTATATCAGCTTGAGTTGCTCGTTCATCCGGCTAACAGAGAGTTAAGCTTACCGCTCTACCGTGGCTTTCTCGGAGGTCCCCTGGAAATACTCTGGCGATCTACCAGTAACCCCGGAGAAGAGGAACACAAAGTACCCGTCAGTAGTATGACCCGTCTTATCAAGCGCAGCTTGATACCGCCACCAAGCAACTCCGCCGAGTCGCCGAGATGACTTCACGAAGCGCATAATCGCCGCTGAATTCTGCCGCCGGCCGCGTCATAGTTGTAAAACATTTAATTGTCTCTCAACGGGGGGGCGACTTCGTGAATCGACAACTGGGCGCCTGGAGCCGGCAGCGACTCCCCAATTTCCCTCAACTTCTGGGCTTCCACTCCATGCAATGGAGACACCACCGACTACATGACGTAAGTAAGAAACACAACTAGGTGTCGGAACTTGGACTGAAAACTCACGAGAGTCCCCTGCTAAAAATTTGCCGGTCCCTTTTACGACCGCAAGGGCCCTTGCAGGTCGCCTCGTTTGTAGGTTGCTGGAGTGCTCGATGCAGCGGATTGCCTTGAATAAGCTCAATTTCGAGCAGAGAATGGGGCGATGGAACATCTAGGTCCAGTCGCCGCCATCCATGAGTGCGTCGAGCGGTGAATGCGCATAGCAGTTAATGAAGATAGAAGGGCGCTCAGGAGGATTATGCTTCAAATGGTGAAGACAGGATTTAAGCTAGGCTAAAGTTAAAAAGTTAGAGAGTTCAAAAGTGTTTCAAAGAAGTGGGAATTTCATAAATAAATGACGGCGGCGCTTGTGTTGCGACTCCTTGCACTCCTCGTATGTTACGTCTAAGGGGCAGGTGTGTGTTGTTTTCTAAGCAGGCGTGGTGCGGCACGGAAGGGAGCTCCTCAAATACGGTAAGAGTGGCCAGATGCAACCAATCAAGCCAAGATATCGAAGCAGAAATGAACCACACCAAGCAATTCGTACAGAGAGGGCATCACCGACAACACCAACATCAACACCAACAACCCTAACCCTTTACCCCTGAATGAACTGAATGTCAACAAACCGTGCTACCACTCCCTCTCCATCTCGTCCCGCCTTCCGCATCCGTGGTCATACTCGTACCCATCCTCTCTGCCAGCATCAAATACATCTTCCACACTCGCAGGTTGGTACCCCGCAGGATAGCGCACGGAGGTTACTCCCGGGCAGCGTCTCGTCTCCTTCTCCTTCCCCTTTGCTTTGCGGCCCACGATTTCACGGCCTTTCCCCTTTCCCTTGTCCAGCTTTTTACACATTCCCCCGTTTTTGCCTTTTTCCTTCTCGGCCTTTCGCTTTTTTTCGTTTCTCCCCCCGACACTTTCCTTTTCACACTCTCCGACCCTCTCCTGCTCCTTCCCCTTACCCTTCTCTCCATCCTGCGTCTCCTGCCACCAACCACCTTCCACATCCCTAATGCCATCCTCACCACATCCATAATCTTCGCTTCTACAATACCCATTCCCATCCCCATTTGTGCTCCCGCTCCCACCCCAATACATCCCCCCGACCACGAACCCCTTCATCATCACGACGCTACCTGTGCAATTTGCCATCCCCCGCCACACATGATGGATTAACGCTTGTAAGACTAATTCGAGTTAGGTGCGGGTACACATAAGGAAATGCGGCTGTAAAGTTCTTGGCAAAACGCAAATCCAGGAAGCTCGGATCGCGACGAGATTATGAACAACCTTGCTTCGCGTAACGTACTTCTGTATGAATGTATTCCTACACGTTTTAACGAGAATCTCAAAATCGTTTCGGGTTAAT